TACAGCTTATTATGAAATGAATTATTGTTAATTTAAACATTATTATACTAATGAAATCTCTATAAAAACTAAACCTTAAATACATTTTAGATTAAATGAAATATTTATATATTTTCTACAGTTTTTGCGAAAACTAAATATCATATAACGTTATAACTAAAATTTTTATTTAGGGAAATACATTGGCAACTCCATTAAATATAATACAGGAATTAGACATTTATTTATAACAAAACAAATTAATTAATTATGATTTTCTATATAAAAGTCAGCCAATTAAGTGTATACTGTAGTGCTGTATATTATGATGGTTTCCGACTCTTTATATTATTATATAATATCTCTGGGACTGAATTAATACCTCATTAGGGATTCATTTATTTAATGTTTACTCTCTTTTCATTTGTCAATTCCTTATTCAGACTTAACTTTGCAATAGTTATGTCTATATTCTGTATATTCTGTACAGCACTGCCTCTATTGACATAATAATTCTTAGGCCAATATTTCTCGTAATATGAAAAAATAGCCTCAAAACTACTCACAATTATTCTCATAAACCATTTAATTAAACCAAAGAATAACAAGAATTAATTCATATTTTGGTTTATTTAGTAAATGAAACAGTAATTCAAAAACACAATACAAGAGTGCGGCCTAAAAGCTGCTAATAGTTTGCAATTCTTTGCAAATACAGTGCAAATGATCGGCAAAAGTATTGGTTGTGTCCGTAAAACCCGTTTATTCCGAAACACTTCACATATCTCTCAGATTAATGTTATTTATGATCTCTTGCATGGGTTTTATGTCTTACGTCTCTGTCTTTACTCCTAAATATTAGACCCAAATATCATTTTTGGGATCAAATTCATGGCAGATATACCTAATTATAACCAATATATAAGTTTAGTGTTTCTATAGTGACATCNCCAATATATAAGTTTAGTGTTTCTATAGTGACATCAGTTTTATTTATCCATTGAACCCAATATTTATTTTTCGCTTCAATTTCTTTTGCCTTTATATACGAAATCTATTTATGAATACATGAGTTGATAGTAAATAAAACTCATTATAATTACAAGACATTGATTTTATTTCGTATTTCACTGTAAATTAAGTGAAATTTACTTTATATTAGGTTTAATCAGTTAAATATAAAATAGTTGACTTTTTAAATAAATAATATTTTACTTTAAACTTTAAAATTATTATTAAATAATTTCTTTTTATTAAATTATATTATATTTAAATTATCAAAATTAAAATTTAGTGTTTAGTTTTTAACATTTAAAATTATATAAACATATAAATATAATACTGTTTTTAAAGATAATCATTTTATATTAATAAAACGTATTAAAACAAAAGGGTCGAGAAACCTCCAGACAAATGATGCTAATATAAAGTGTTATGAAATTATAAATAAAAAACTTAAACTCAGTATTAATATTGTCTGAAACAAAGTTTATGAAAACTGGATACAGAATATTCTATCCACAAATTCATAAGAGTTCACACAATTACAGGCATACTTTATTGATAGTATCAATATGATACTCCAGGCATATTAGACAAATAAGACAAATTCTATAACTTTTTTTAAAAAATGTATAAAATATACTTAAACTAAATATTAAACAAATATTAAACTATACTTAAACAGAATGCACATGCACTGCATACTTACTACATACTATACACATCAAATAATGTTACTTGAATTTTTCTATTATATTTATATTTGAAAACAATTGCAAACTATTTTTAAATAAAAATAATTATACTGTAAATTGTATTATTTTTAAAAGAAAAATTACAAAATAAAATAATTGTGCTCAACTACTTATAAAAGTACTAAACATTGAATTGAATTGAAATTTGTAGATTACAGTGACTGCTGATTTATAACATAAAAATGCTTACAATTCACAATCAAATAATAGTTCACAATTTAAAAACACGTCATATTGTTTTCATATATCATATACACACGTTTATTACACGTATATATCATATACACACGTTTATTACATTTATATAGAAATGATAGTAAGAGCAGGTATATTGATTACTTGAGGTATGATTAGTAAATGTAGGCTTATATCTTAATGGTTAAACGTCATAATGTTTTTATTGAATAACCTTGGATGCACTTTAGTTTTGTAATTATTTACTATCTAATATAGCATATATTATGAGATTATTGAGGTATATAAACAGTGAATGCAAGTCATTTAAACTTAACATATCATAGTTGTTTCATAGATACGTTTTTGGCTATATTGTATACTCAGCCCAAAGTTTCTATTAAATCACTTTCACAAGTTTGAGCATCTTTTGGGTAAATCTACTGCAAGAAAATGCCGATTCATATCTACGCCACCCGTTATAGCCCTCCCTGTCGGGCAGTCCTCATGACAGCCAAACAGTTGAATATTGATTTAAACCTCAAAACTATTCATTTGAATGAAGGCCAACATTTGACCGAAGATTATCTCAAGGTATTTAACATTTTGATAAATTATCCAACAAAATATTATATATTTTTATTTTACAGATTAACCCAGCTCATTCTATACCGACCATTGATGACAATGGATTCATACTCTGGGAGTCGAGAGCTATAATGCAATACTTATGCAACCGATACGCACCGGACAGTCCCCTCTATCCGACTGATGCCACAAAGCGTGCACTTGTGGACCGTTGGCTTAACTTTGATCATACGCTCACTATTGCTGTCCGAGATGCCTGTGTACGTGATTTTTGTGTTACAATTAATTATGAAATTAATCTAATAATTAAACCAATAGTTAAGACCGTATTTTATGGGCGTTGAACCGACTGAACAAAGTTTGAAAGTGTTTAACGACACAATGAAACTGTTGGATGAGTTGATTGGAAACAAGAAATACTTGAATGGAAATCACTTAACAATTGCTGACTTGTCTGTATTGGCCACCACTTACACTCTGAAGATTTTGAACAAGGATATGACGCCTTTCCCAAACTTTAAAACCTGGATAACAGGGTTGACCGCAGAATTTCCATACGTTGAGGAGATTAATAAGTTTGATGAAAATGACATCAAGAGTCAGATGAACAAAACGAAAACTTTCTTTCTTGAGAAACTCAGTAAGAAGTAATAAAATGTGTTTTTCATTTAACCTAGATATAACATTGAATTCTATATTGAACTGTATTTTTAATTATTAAGAATAAAAACATTTGACAAACTATTCATAACTTACTGTATTTAACAAACTTTATAAATCAAAATATATGCACCAAAAATAAAATTATAAAAATATTGCAGTGACAAATTTTCTATATTCAATAGTTAATTATGTTATATATTAAAAATTTTTCACACATCACACCTTTCCCTAACTGACCTGGATAACTGGGCTGACCCAAGAATTTCCATATGTTGTTGAGATTAATAAGTTTGATGAGAAAGACATTGAAATGCAAATAAGAAAAAGGCATTCCTTCTAAGAAAAAGTTATAAAGTGTGTTTTATAAACATTAGTTTTTTTTGTTAAACTTATTATTAATAATAAAATAAAATTGACTTTATATCAATTCAAACTAATTAAAATAGATTAATCTTTAGTTAAACACAATTACATTTATATTGTATAAAAAAAATTTATGAGCATTTCTGTGAACTTAAATCAATGAAAAAGTACTAAAATCACATTAGCGAGTACATTAGGTTTATATAAACCATAACATAACAGCTAAATTCATAATTCTGTGTAATAATTCTTGAAAATATATTTATTATACAGTATTTTTATAGTGAAAATAAAATTGATTTTTTACAAAGTATCATCAAATGTGATCATTTCATTCAAAACAGTCCACAATAATCTTAATCCATATAAGTTTAACAATATTTATTACTGTACTATTTATTATTATTAAAAATATTTATATAATACATAAATCTATAATATTAACTATAATATATAATAATAATTTATAATTATCCATAAATGGCGGTACTATTAATGAAAATATATTCTTTAAAATAAATATCTCAAAAACCTGTCCGACAGTTGACTCCTATAATGAGTGTATAGTTGTGTTGACAATCATATGGTGACCGAAATGATGAGTGGAGTGCGTGTGACGGACACCAGTATCAGCCCCAAAGAGGCACCAAATAAGACATTCATAGACAGGGATCAAATAGAGATGCTTAAGAGGAATATAAAGGAGGGTGCAATTCCTCTAATATCGGGTCAGTTAACTGCTGGCGCTCTCATAGTTCTGGTGCTGACCGATGTCATCGATTTCAGCAAAATAGTGAACGTCGGCATCAATGACTTGCCTGACATCCAGTCCCGCATTGGATATGTATTTTCGTATCAGACAACTGGTGTCCTATGGCTTCTGTGGTGTTTAATTGCCGTCATATGGGTTCGGGTGAGGAGTCCGGCTATGGATCCAACGGCTGGGGCTGAACACCTGCTCCTTAAGCCTAAGAATGTACTGAACAACTCGTGCGAACAGTTCCTGCTGTCAATGGTCTCTCAGCTCATACTCGTCCAGCACTTGGATAGCGAACACACTGTCAAATACATACCGGCCCTCAATCTAATGTTCATTGTTGGGCGGATCACCTACAGGTTGGGTTATCCGATGAACAGGGCGTTTGGCTTTATGTTAAATCTGTTGCCACTGTGTGTCACAATGGCTTATTGTATGTTTAAATTTTACGCTGTTTACTTTTACTTAATATTCAAATGACTTTTGTCATTGTAGCTCATGGTGATTTTTATTTAAGTAATAATTTTATTGCAATATATCATACTTAAACATTTTTAAATTTAAATACCAAAATTAAATTGTTAACTTTACTGAGATATCAAATATTTAAACAAATTCACCTAAATTACCCTAGATAACTGACAACGCTGTAAATCTGTACACTGAATGTTGTAAAAATATTAATAAAATATTGTAAGTTAATTAAAATAATCAAAATGAACAGTGGTCTCTACTCCCAAAATGATAAACTGAGAGCACTGGTAGATCGTTAGCTTAATATGGATACAGGTATGACTTTATTAGCTATTTTAAGACATGCATTGGTTTGTGACACAAATTATAAATAAATGTAGTAATAAATGCAATAATATTCAGGATCAACTGACATTATTTTAAAGTCTTTAATATAATGATTGACAGCAATAAGTATTTAAAAACAGATTGGCTCACAATCGCAGACCTGTCTCTGTTGACTACCCGTACAGGACAGACATTTCTGGGTTAGAATCGCACGAATACCCTAACGTTAAATGGTGGGCATTGGGCCTACAGACAGAGCTTCCTTATTATCATGAAATTAATTTATTAAAAGACGTCCTAGAAGCTTTTGTTACAAAAGTTAAAACATTTTACAGTAGTATGCAATTACAGAAGAAATGAACTAGCTAGTATATTTTCTATTATTTGTAGAATGCATTCTTAATTGTTATTTAATAATAATCTTATTAGTCAATCAATCTAACAGTTGTGGACATTGTTTGATTATTTCTTAAGAAAAATATTTCAATGTCAAATAAATGCAATCAAATGTATTGTATTTGTGACTTATAAGTTATATAACTATTAACTTATAACTATTTTTCTTGTCAAATGACTACCACATTGCAATTAAGTTGCAACCGGGTCTTGTTTACTAGAGTTAATTTTCATTGGTTTTCATTAAATGATGTAATAGACAAATTATAATTTATGATAATCTACAAATAATAAAAAACTTATAAAATTTAAAATTATTAGTCATTATTTTTTTTAAATATTATATAATTTATTTACTGTATTTATAAAATAGCAATTAGTCATAAATTTGATTTATAAATTATATCATGATTACGAAATTAATTATATATTTTTAGTAAATAATATATTATTAATTTAATTTGTTTAATATGGAGTTTATAAGATATAGTTGAAACTTTAAAGATTATAAATAATGATTAAAAACTCAACTAACAGTAATAATAGGTAAACATTGTATTTTAACTTATAGTAAAATAAAAAAATATAATTATAATAGCAATGTGCAATTAAATATTAATTAAATATAAAATATATTTCAAATGACATGATATTTGAAATAATTTATGTTTACAGTTAATTGTTTGCATTGAAATGTCTCTTCAAAGTTATTTTGTTTGTTATTTCTATCAACTGTAATGAATCAAACAATTGTCAACTAACTAACTATCAACTTAGTTAGTTATTTGATATAAATTATAAACTAAAATATTATTTTATAAATACTTTACATTTAATAAAAACGTATTAAAACCCATTACAGATCAATTGATTGAATACACAGATTACATAAAAATGTATGATATACTTGGAATGCACTACAAATGATTTGAGTACAGAATTACACTACACTTCAGGGCAATCACACAGAATTGATTAAAATGTGAACTAGGGTACTTCATTATTTGTACTCAAGTCGAAAGTTTTTCATATTATTTAAGACAATTATTTGATAGCTTAAAAATTCTATGATATGCAATAGTTTATGAATTAGATTTTCTATTAACTAATTTGGACATAAGAGGTCAGCCGAAAAAGTCAATACATGTATTTTAACAGATTTTGTTGTGAAATAAAATAATAATTTCATGAATTGTTTGTTTCGATAAACCATAAATAGAAAATTATTGACAACAGATATATTGATTAAACAATTATTGTGTTAAAAAATGTTGATAATACAATATTTTCAATACTTCATTGCATCAAAAGATTAAAAATCCTTGAATTTTTAGTTAAATAATATAACCTGAGTTTGAATAAATAGCAGTGAATTCATTGGCAACTCAGTTATACCACACATTGGCATCAGACTGTTGTTGAGCTCTACTCCCAACACAAAGATTCATTAAATAGTTAAATAATTAACAACTTTTTGGAAAATATTTTTTAGTAAGTGTTTGACAATAAGATGCCGATCGATATCTACTCAATCCGTTATAGCCCTCCCTGTCGGGCAGTCCTCATGACGGCTAAGCAATTGAATATTGATTTAAATATCAAAACTGTTGATCTGAGTCAAGGCCAACATTTGGCCGAAGATTATCTCAAGGTATTTATTATTGAAAACTATGTAACAGTAAAATAATATTACTAAACATTTAAATATTAAATAAAATATTTGTAAAAATAACCTTTCAGATGAACCCAGCTCATACTGTTCCTACCATTGATGACGACGGGTTCATACTATGGGAGTCGAGAGCTATTATGCAATACTTGTGTAACCGATACGCACCGGACAGTCCCCTCTATCCGAGTGATCCCAAAAAGCGTGCACTTGTGGACCGTTGGCTTAATTATGACTTATCTGTCTTTATTACACTCCGAGATTCATTGGTATGTGTTAAAGGGTTTGTTGTAATTAATTGTAATATAAATCTAATAATGAAACCCATAGTTGAGGGCAAAATTTATGGGGTTTGAAACCACCGAAGAAAATAAGACAACTTTCAATAACACAATGAAACTCTTGGATCAGTTGATTGGGAACAATAAATATGTGGCGGGAAGTGACCTAACAATTGCCGATTTATCTGTATTGGCCTCTACCAACTCACTGATATTATTGGACATGGATTTGAGTCCTTACCCTAACTTTAAGAATTGGTTAACCGGGTTAAGTGAAGAACTGCCCTATTATGACGAGATTAATAAGTTTGAAAACGAAGACATTATGGGATATATGGCCAAAATGAAGGCTTTCTTCCTCGAGAGACTTAATAAGAGTCAATAAAATAAGAAGTGTCCAGGTTGTTTCACTCGAACTATATTCTTATTCTTTAATTTTCAATATTATTCAATAGTGCTTACTCAATATGCACATTTTACTATCATGTAACACTTATTGAAAAATTAATTTTTATTTGTAAAATGATATTAAAAATAATTAGATATATTTTTTTAGTTAATAAAGAATAGATAACATACTAATTATTATTTGATAAATGAATAAATAATTAACTTTAAGACTTCAATAAAAACTAAAATGTGACTATAGTGAAAATAATTAAACATTGTATTTTTAAATTAACTAAATATATTATTCTAATAACAATGTACAATTAAATATACATTTAACCAAATCTATGAGTTATTTATTTAAAATGAAATCATATTAAAATATTTTGCAATTGTTTTCATTAAATTCCTTGCCCCTTTAAAGTTATTTTGTTTGTTATTTACTTTTAATTATAACTTATATTTTAATCAATCAATTTAATTATTACTGTTCTTTATAAACCATTTCAACAAATATAAAATTATCGAGTATTTTATAATAACTTATCATTAAATTAACAAAATCGGATACAGATTCCTATGAGCTGGGTCATAAAACATTGCAATCGGTTTGCGTATAGCAATAACAAAGCACTTAAAGTGAAATCAAACAGAATTGATAAAAATATCAATTTGTTGATTATTTCTGATTGTCAAGTCTAAAGTCATCCTACAATGTTATTTATTACACTATAAAGATTTTATGTCGATAATTAAATAAAAGTGTTTCTCAATTATCAACTAATTTCATTATAAATTTAGTTATAATGAACACATGGGTCAATATTACACAAAATGTCAATATTTCTAATACGTTTTGTTAGGAAATTAAGTAAATAAAAACTTTAGAAAATAATTTGTTTCACTATAAATAGAAAATGTGTTGTCAACAGATATATTGATTAAACAAAAACATTTATTGTGTTAATAAATTTTGATATTATTTTCAATATTTCATTGCATTACATGATAAAAAATGCTTGAATTGGTTGAATTACGTGAGATTATGTGTACTGTACATAACGATTAAATAAAAGCCGTGAAACATTCATTTGCAACATTCAGTTATACCGCACACTGGTATCCAACTATTGTTTTACTCTATACTAAACTTAAAGATCTTTCATTCAATTATAAAACATTTAAAAAACAATTTTCTTTTGAGTGGAAATATTTGACAATAAGATGCCGATCGATATCTACTCACTCCGTTATAGCCCTCCCTGTCGGGCAGTCCTCATGACGGCTAAGCATTTGAATATTGATTTAAATATCAAAACTGTTGATCTGAGTCAAAGCCAACATTTAGCTGAAGATTACCTCAAGGTGGTTTTTAAATTATCAAACTAAATATTAATTGAAATTTTTAAAATTAAATTACAGATTAACCCAGCTCATACTGTTCCTACCATTGATGACGATGGGTTCATATTATGGGAGTCGAGAGCTATTATGCAATACTTGTGTAACCGATACGCACCGGACAGTCCCCTCTATCCGGGTGACCCCAAAAAGCGTGCACTTGTGGACCGTTGGCTTAATTATGACCTGTCTGTTTTTAACGCACTCCGAGAATCACTGGTAAGTTTGTTTGAATAATTTTGGTGGTTGTAGTTAATTGTGATAACAATCAAACCAATAGTTGATACAAAAATTTATGGGTTTGGAAATGAGCGAAGAAAATAAGACGAAATTTAATGACACAATGAAACTCTTGGATCAGTTAATTGGGAACAATAAATATGTGGCGGGAAGTGACCTAACAATTGCCGATTTATCTTTGTTGGCCACTACTAACACACTGTTAATATTTGACATGGATTTGAGTCCTTACCCTAACTTTAAGACTTGGATAACTGGATTGACTGAAGAACTGCCTTATTTTGACGAGATTAATAAGTTTGAAAACGAAGACATTATGGGATATATGGCTAAAATGAAGGCATTCTTCCTCGCGAGACGTAGTAAAAGTCAATAAAATGTGTCAGGGTATAACTCAAACAATACTCTAATTAACTAATATTCTTACATATTCTATAAGTATATATTTACTTTTATTAAACTGATTGAAAAATGTATTTTATATTCTTAAAAATAAAGATTTAAATTCTATGTTATAATTACTGTATTTTAAATTATGTACAATCTAACAACCAAAAATTACTTAAGGAATTTGTATAATTAATGTCACTAAATGTGTCCAAAATAGCTACCGTTATTAAGAACAAAACGATTATTGAGTTGACCATGGTAATAGAAAAGGTTAGAAACGTCAGTTTGACAGTTCATTATACAGTATCTACTATACAGTAAGGCTTCTATGATTCAGGATATAGTTATTTAAGTAATAATATCAGGAATTAACTGTTGATTATAATTGTCAAATATGCCCACCAATAGTACTTATGTGTGAAGTTATATCATGTAATCACAATATTGTGTTTATTAATGGATATGTACTTAAGAATCGTACTGTAATTCATTAAATCTAATTGACGCAGTAATATGAACAAGGTCCTTGAAACTAATCTATTAAGTTGAGCATAACTATAAAATAAATGCTGTCAGACTGTTAGTTATTTCTTTAGTTCT